GCCCTGGCAAAGCCTTGATAACACTATCTGGAAAGCCAGAGCCCAAAGGAAGAGTTCTAGAGACTCTCCCAACACTCCCTCGGAGCAAGGTTAAGAAGAACAAATTCCTTTACTATCTCCTCATCCCCCTTACCATTACTCAATTTCCAAGTTTTGTAAGTTCCTGTTTTTCTTTCAATGCAGCTGTAAAATCACAAGCCAAAGATTACAAAACCTGTCACTGTTTGATTAACTGCCTTTGTTCTGACTCTGTAAGCCTCCTTGCCTGCACCACGAATTTTGTGCCATTTAAATTAGCCAATCCCCTTTCCGAAGTGTGTATAAAAGTCAAGCCCTGTCTTTGTTCGGGACCTAGCCTTCGGATGTGAATCCGTTGGGCCAGTGGCCACTTAAATAAAATCCTTCTGTTTCATCTATTGGTCTCTCTGGTCCTCTAATTCCGGCAACAAGGCAAGGGCTAGAAAGGCAAGCCTGCTCTGTGGGCGCATAAATACTAGACCTGGAAATTGAGACCAGTCCTAGAAGAAAAAGATAACCTTATATGCCAGTCTCCTCTTGACTGATTCTCTACAGCTGGGAATGTATTGCAAAATAAATATTCCTTTTAGTATATCTTAACTGTATGATCACAACTTATCAAAGAGGAGCCTATTTCCCCCTACATTCACAGGGGGACAAATAAATAATCTTTTAAGGTTGAAGCAGCAACACCTGAAACTTTGACACTGTGAAGGCAGACAGCTATAAAGTACAGTCCTATCCTCTTTATTATTTTTATTCTTCCTCCCATTTTTGGAATTTACTATCCTTGCCTGGGTCAACTGCTTCCCTCTTAAAAATTAGGTGGCACTGGGTTTACCTCTCATTAACTTTCAAGAGTGGCCAGCAATTACAGACCCAGTGAAAAATACATTTAGAAGCTGATTCTAAACAAGTGAAATTCAGTAGGTAAAGAGTAGAAAAATAATATTAGAGAAAAATAAGAAAATCTCAAAACTGTAGAAAAGTGTAAACCTAAAAGCTATAGCAATGTTTTTATTTTTCCATGAAAATTTTGTGAATTGAAGGGTTTTATATCATAGAAATACAAGCAGAACATACTTAGGAAATTACATGGAAAAACTTCTAAATGTATCTAAGGGATAATTTTTTGTAGCCCAAAATGGTCCTTAAGGGAGAATAAAGGTAATCATAGAGGTCTTTTGCCGCCTTCATCCAGACTAGTGTTTACATATTGACAACCAAAAAAATGACACTTAATGCCAGCGTAATGTGCTATGGTATGTTGTCAACCATGCCATCAAGATGCTTATGGTCTGGTAAGATGTAAGGTGATTTTCCCCCCCACTCTTCTAAACTGTTATGGTTGACTGAGTTAGTGACTAAGAATCCCGTGACAGAGGAAGCTACTTAAAAAATAAAATTAGGGGCCGGGCGCAGTAGGTCATGCCTGTAAATCTCAGCACTTTGGGAGGCTGAGGTAGGCAGATCACGAGTTCAGGAGATCGAGACCATTGTGGCTAACAAGGTGAAACTCCATCTCTACTAAAAATACAAAAAATTAGCTGGCTGTGGTGTCACATGCCTGTAGTCCCAGCTACTCCGGAGGCTGAGGCAGGAGAATTGCTTGAACCCAGGAGGCAGAGGTTGCAGTGAGCCAAGATCACGCCACTGCATTCCAGCCTGGGTGACAGAGCGAGACTCTGTCTCAAAAAATAAAATAAAATAAATAAATAAAATAAAATAAAATAAAATTAGGAAACAGTTAAAATCCTAAAAGAATAGCAAAAATATTTAATATATGTGACAGTGTTCTGTCCTAAATTTAGATCTATCCATTAGAGTTTAATAGAATATACTGTATAAAGCCAAATAAACAGAGATGTACAACGTCTATTAAGTTTGCATCACTAAGTCATTTCACTGTTCTACTTTTGTTATCAACAGCTCTTTTAACCATGCAGATGACATGGCTAATCTTCAGAGGAAGAAGAGAGAACTGTCATGTAAGTAATTTTTAGAAACAGTTCTTTTCAATTTACCCGTATATATGGACAGATGTAGAGTATAAATTGCACATACTCATAGCCACAGAGACACTTGCTGTGAGGCTATGCCTAAACAGGCATTTTCCCACATGTACTTGCAAACAAGCTGGTAGAAAACTCAGACTGTACCCGGGCAGGACAATATACAAGTTTATAGAAGAGGGATACCAAGGAGTGAAGACATATGAATGGGCATTTAGCAGAGAAGAGATAAAAATGAGTGATGAGAATGTGAAAGAAACTGCAGGAATTATTGCAAATTGACAGAAAAACAACAGTGTGCGATGTAAGAACTGCAATATGTGAAGAGTACTTCATTTCTAAGTGTGAAAATTAGGTTATATAATAGAGATTACACAGATTACAGCATTACATTGTAGAGACTACAACTAAGATCAAAAGAAAATTTCTGAGAAAACCAGGTTAACAGCTCAAGTCACTTCTGTTTTGTCACTGCTTATATAACTATTTTCACATAGTATCTACTAACTGCCTCAGTTCTTTTTTTGAGACAGTCTCGTGCTCTGTCACCAAGCTGGAGTGCAGGGGAGAGATCATGGTTCATTGCAGCCTTAACCTCCCAGGCTCAAGCGATCCCTCCTACCTTAGCCCCCCAAGAATAGCTGGGACTACAAGCATGTGCCACCTCACCCAGATGATTTTTTATTTTTATTTTTTGTAGAGATTGGGCAGGAGGTGGGGGTGTCCTCCCTGTGTTGCCTAGGCTGGTCTTGAACTCCTGGAGTGAAGTGATCCTCCTGCCTCAAGTCTCCCAAAGTTCTGGGATTATAGGCATTAGCCACTGTGCCCAGCCAGTTCTTGACTTCTTAGTGCAAAGGCAATTAACTCAATTGATGAATTCATTCCTTTTGTTGTTAAACTACTAAATATTTAGAAGATAAATATTAATACATGCAAATGCTTAGCACTAAAATATTATCTCTCGTTTCCATTATCTAGCTTCAGAAAAATTTTAGTAATCTTTGCAGTCTATCTGAAGCATGTCCTTCTGCCTTCAATTTTCTTAACAAAATTTCTACTCTGCTAGGTATACTCCTCCTGGTATATAAAGTGTAAAATTATCCTCCCATGGAACACTCAAAAACCTTTTACATTGCGTCCTACTTACTTTTTGTAAGAATCTGGCTTGAAACGAAGTTTTAAACAGCCATGCTAATATTCCCTTGGATTTTACATACCTTCTTAGTCAAATTACTAGAAAGCCATAAACCTCAAATACATTACCTCAGGCCTTCACATATACCACGTAACACACTCTGGATCTACAAATGCCCACAACTTTTACTGAGAATTAAAGTATGAGTTCCATATAAAAACCATTTTTGTTTTTTTAAAATTTCTACCAAAGAAATCTTATTATGCCATTTAATTGCTTTTTCATAAAGAACCATGTTAAGTATTCCTCTTAGTGCTAGTAAAATACTAGTAAAATTTTCTCTCCCTAATTAACTAGTATGTTTTCCTTTTTAGATAGCAATACCCGTATTATTCTGGTTTCCTTTTTTCTTTGGTTGGCAAGAAGTTCTGAGCTAAGTTTTATTCTTAAGTATGAGAATTCTTAGCCTATGTCTGCATACTTTGGCTTTTTATTAAACTCTGCTCAATTTCATTTGTATCCTTTATTATAAATCACTTCAAATCTTTTGCAGAAAAAGAGTATAAATAGCTGGGTACAATGGCTCACGCCTGTAATCCCAGCACTTTGGGAGGCCGAGGTGGGAGGATCACCTGAGGTCGGAGTTTGAGACCAACCTGACCAACATGAAGAAACCCCATCTCTACTAAAAATACAAAATTAGCCGGCATGGTGGCACATGCCTGTAATCTCAGCTACTCGGGAGGCTGAGGTAGGAAAATTGCTTCAACCCAGGAGGCAGAGGTTGTGGTGAGCCGAGATGGCACTATTGCACTCCAACCTAGGCAACAAGAGTAAAACTCTTGTCTATATATAAAAAAAAAAGTGTAAGTAAATGTAACTGAAAACAACAATTTATATAAATTAGACTTTATACTCCTTACTAAACTTTTATTAAAATAAGTCTGCCCACATCTAACCTGAATAGCAGAGTTAAACTATTTAACAAAAGTATATATATTTTATCTTCAAAAGTTGGACTGAGGCTGGGCACAGTGGCTCACGCCTGTAATCCCAGCACTTTGGGAAGCTGAGGCGGGATCACCTGAGGTCAGGAGTTTGGGACCAACCTGGCCAACATGGTGAAACCCTGTCTCTACTAAAAATACAAAAATTAGCCGGGCGTGGTGGCGCACACTTGTAATCCCAGCTACTTGGGAGGCTGAGGCATGAGAATCGCTTCAACCTGGGAGGCAGAGGTTGCAGTGAGCTGAGATCATGCCACTGCACTCCAGCCTGAGTTACAGAGTGAGACTCCATCTCAAAAAAAAAAAAAAAATTGGATTACAGTAAAAATAAGAATGGTAAACAGTATATTTGCTCAGAAATAAAGTTTGAAAAGGGTATATTATAATGAACCACACTTCTGCCCTTTTGTATTTCACTCTGCCCTAGTTTCTAAGATGCAATGTGGTTTACTAAACACCACATCCTCACAGAGGACAGATTCTTAATGTATTCATCATTCTGAAGCACCAGTATAGGAATTAACAGGTACACAACTTTTCCCATCAATCACAGGCCTGGGTTATTTAGGAATACAAACATTTATCCTCTGCTATAATTTAAAGACAATGAAGAGTAAATGAAAATAGATTTATCAGCTAAACAAACCATTAAATCCTTTTTAAGTAGGGATTAAAAACTAGGCATTAAATCAGGGATCCTTAATGTGATAAATTTTTATAAATGCAGATATTTAGATTATGGAAAATGGATGTCTTTGTTATTTTGAGCTGCTCAACACAATTATACTATAATTATCTAAGTGAGGACAGGCCTGCTTCCAAATTTACCTGATGAGAGATGGAAGGTTGCTGGATGGGCCCCTGCATTCTAGGGTTTGGTAAACCCACAGGTGCTGGCCTCCGTTGCACCTGTTGCCTCTGAGCCATTACCTGTTGCTGCATATGCTGGAGCCGTAATTGAGCTAGGCTGATCTGTGTTGGGAACTTGGATAACTGGTTTGATGATAAACCACTTGGTGGCTGTGAATTCTGTTCCACGACAGGATTCTGCTTAGGCATTTGTGGCTGGCTCTCTTTATCCTCAATTACTAAAGAACCTAATTAAAAAGAAAAGGTTAAGGGAAAAAGTTTTTCAGATAGTTGGTGAAATATCACATTTTCTAAGACTATTTTTACAGAACTTCAAAATTGCCAAGGAATTCTCTGGTCTCATGAGCCCTTTTACACTCTGAAAGACAGAGGACCCCCAAACAGCTTTTGTTCATCTAAGTTCTAGTCATCAAAATTTATAATATTCGAAATTAAAAATAATTTTTAAAACTAATTCATTTAAGAATAATAAAACTATAACAACATGTTTTTATAAAACTACATTGTAAAAAATTTGGTAAACATTTTTTGATATTTTAAAATACTGTTTGATGTTTTAAAAAAATCTCTTTGAATGTCTGGCTTAATAGCTGAAATCTCATTATCTGTTTCTGCACTATCTATCATAATATATTGTTGAGTTAAAATATATGAAAAAAATTTCAGTCTCACTGTATGGCAGACAGCACCTGACAGCAATAACTTAAGTCTACCCTGAGAGTGACCCTGTATAGCCTAAGAAGAATGTGTGTTTGGAGTTCCGCACTAAAGAACCCAGGAGTGGCCAACCCAGAGATCCATTCTTTATCAATGAAGAATATCTGAACTCCCAGGCCAGCCTGTGGAATCCAGGCCATATCGGGGATGGAGGACTTTTGCTTTGTGTTAAATGAAGGTTGCCACATGGAGGTTGCTAGCGGGGGGGTGCTAAGTGCTATATAAACTACTTGCTGGTGATTCTCTTGTCCAGCCCACTGCCACTGGACTGTCCTGTATGTAAGTTCCCTCAATAAGCCCTGTGACTCATTCACTAGCTCCAGGTCTCTTCTTGGGCCTCTCTTCTTGGGCCTCTCAAACATGGTCCTATCCCTACTGACGTCAACAGGGGTCTGGCACAACATTCATCCAGACATGTAGTTGGAAAAGGGTGACCTTTGTGGTCCCCTGATAGAGTACCAGACTATACTCTGAGAACCGCTGTCATATATCAAAACAAGCAAACCTGACATTGGCTCTAAAAACAATCCCAAAAAGTATTTCTGAATCTTTACTATTAACAAGTTGTGATCTCTCAAGTTTCCTATACCTTTACAATGCATACTATGTTAACTTTTTGATACAGAATACATTGACCAGCTTAAAACTAGTTTTAAGAGTTTAATGGTGCCTTTGAAAGGTCTGATTCAAGCTTGATTTCAACAGTAGAAACTCAAATGTTTATAATTTATTACTCATATGCATTCTAAAAATATATAGTTATTCATTAAATGTTTACTGTGTGTAATTCACTACTACAGGTAGGTGTATGCATATGTTTAAAAGAAACAATAACATTCTCTTTTACACATAAGGGATCTAAGGTTTAGAGAGGTTGTAAAACTTATCCAAAGTCACTCAAGACAGTAACAAACTATTCATCTAGACCAATATTTTTCCCTAGTGTTCTTATACGTTTCTCAGAAGCCATGGGTAACAAGTTTAGGAAACTTGTCTCCTTCTTTAGAGATTTACAATGTAAATCTCACTGTTTATGAATTTACAGTGCTGAAGTGACAGCTCTGAGAAATTCAACAGTAAAATATATTGTTTAACTTCCTTATACCTGTTTCACAAACTATTAGACTAGGAGATCCTGTTTTTGTTTTGGCTAAAGTAGATTTATCTGAAACTGTATCCATTTATGTGTGTACAGTTTTGAATATAATTCTTAAATGTACTTATGTCTATATGTAGGTGTATTTACCTATTGTGATATAAGTACATAACACATAGGACCACTTGTTTGGATTTATATCTTGTGATGGGTTCTGAGTACAGATGAATGTGTAGTGGGAGAGTCAGGTGTGGCAATAAGAGTTACTTATACACATGTTTTGTATTCTAAAGATGCTTCTTTTTGGTAAAATGAGTGTGTATAATTCCAGTTTCCTGCTATGTATCAATATACATATGTTTGTATCTGAACTAGTCTGCAGGGGTCTCCTTATCACCTTTGCTTCCAGGATAAATCTTTTTGTTCTTCCCTTACGGGTGAGATTGCCTATTTCCTCCTTTCCTGGTGAGTATGGGCTCTTTTTCCAGCCATTTTCTTTTCTCACCCAGAATCTAGTGTTGGGGATGAGAAACCGTCTTTGATGATTCTGAAACAAATTCAATGAGCACCCCTCGCCCCTCTACCACCAAAATCAAAAACGATAATACTGTTTGTTGATGAACAGACAATGTGTAGGGAATTCTTAAATTTGTATAGTTTCCCTGTGAGAAATTAAGAAAGAAGGCAAAAAGGTGTTTCTACTCAGCAAATAGTATAATAAAAAAGCTAAAGTAGTAACTTTATGCCAAACTGCTTGCAAGGATACTTTCATTCCTGATGTTACCAAAATGATGGTCTCTTTTTGTGATAATTCAGTGAGCTCTAATATAGTCATGTGTTGCAAAAGGATGGGGATATGTTCTGAGAAATGTGTCATTTAGGTAATTTTATCTTTAGACAAACATCAGTTTATTTATGTAAACCTATACTGTATAGCCTACTACACACCTAAGTTATATGGCATAGCTTATTGCTAGGTAGAATCTAGGCTACAAACCTGTACAGCATGTAATTGTACTGAATTATCTGGACAATACTGTAGGAAATTGTAACACGATGGTAAGTATCTGTGTATCTAAACATACAAAAGATACAGTAAAAAAGCTCACAGTATTTATAAGTCATAGAAGCAGTTAGTTGATTGAGACATCATTATGCAGTACCTGACTGCTTAAGATTTGGGTACTTGTCAGTATGTATGTTGTACTTCAGTTAGTAAGATATCTATATAACTATTACCTGATCAGGCAAAATAAGAAAACTAAGTCTTCCCTAAGCAAGATAAGGGATTGAACCATTAAGTTCCTACTGAATAGTTCTAAAGATAAGCCAATAAAAATTTAGTAGTTTCAAATAAAACTTTCAGGATATCAAAAATCCTTTATCAATGACAAGTCAAGTCAACACAATCTGATAAATTTAGAGCTAACAGAACAAACAAGATTTGGGGGATTGAGGGAATAGGACAGGACAGGACACCTAAATCCCTAAGTCTAGACACCCTGTCAATGTTATAGAATATTTTCTTATCATCCGTACATGTACGTGTGTTTATATTCATGTATATTTGTTACCATATACATACATTGAGAAATACTATCAGATGTCTTTTTAAAACAAAATAATGAAAACATTTTAAAAGTGAGAGAACATATTTTCTTCGATCCTCCAGCATCAGCCTTCCAAGTAGCTGGGACTACAAGCATGTGCCACAACCCCTGGCTAACTTAGAAATCTTATGTGGAAATGGACTCTCCCTATGTTGCCTAGGCTGGTCTTGAACTCCTGGCTCAAATGATCCTTGAGTGATCCCAAAGTGCTAGGATTACAGATGTGAGCCACCGTGCCCACCCTAAGTGAACATATTTTCAGTAACATGTCATAATCATTGAGAGTTCTACAAACAAATGTCACTTTGAGAAATGTATGTAATGGTAATGGCCTACCTAAGTTGATAATATTTTGAGCCCAGAAACTAGGATCACAGTGAAATTGGATGGTGTTGTTGGTCACTGGGGATGCATCACACCTTGCACGAAGGAGGTGCCGTAACCGGTATGTAATCTAGAAGAAAAAGGAGAGACAACTAAATATTAGGCAAATAATTTATTAAGTGCCCAGTAAATATACAAAAACAGTCTCTGGTATGTACATCAATACACAATAAACAATCATATATAGGTCACATAAATTGTGTTGGACATATAACACAATTTTCTTTCCAAAACAAGTTAAAAAGTTTTGAGGCATAATTCAGTTAGCTGTACTACTGAACCAATTTTGAAGTGACAGGTTAAAGTTAGTTTTTTGGATTACTAATAAAATTTTGCAGAATCACTAACTCAAATATTTGTAAAATAAAAATTATTAACGTATCTTAATGCTTTCATTTACTTTACTTACTCTCTTAGAAGGATTCAGAATTTAGACTAGGGGCTAATGAGTTACAGGGAATACAAATTTGTCTCTGTTCAGGAAAAGGAACTGGGCCTGTGAGTGAGGTGATTCTCCTTGTTCCTCATTACAGTTCTGTTCTCACCATCACCCTGAATACAACCAGCTTTGAATCTCATATCATCACACCACACCATCCTCTTTCCTCCACGCTGCAGTCATCAATGAGCATCTACTCATTCTCCCTCAGTCCTTGAAGATTTTAGTTCTTGGTTCACTATCACCATCTCCAACATTAGTCCTGTGGCAATTTTTGATGATTTCAATATCCAACCAAATGATTCACTTCCTCTAGTGCCCAAATACCAATAATCCCCCTAGGTCCTATAAGACTTTGCTTTTTCCATCCTTTCATCTCACTTTACCCTTGCCCTCTATCCCTCAATTCCTCATTATCCAGCCTCAATTCCAGGGTCAATCATCATAATTTCCTTACCTATATATGGCACATATGTAACACACGTCATATATGACACACATGTCACATAGCGTGTATGTCACGTCATGTAACATGTCAGTCATGTGTCATATAACATGTGTCACATATAGTCATATATAACATCATAGATGTCACATATATATGTCAACTCCCCTTTCACTCAATTATATATGCTCACTTCACTCTCCTCAGTGTTTCCCCTAGATAAAACAACTTACCCTGGTTAAATCCCACATGCTGCCTGAACATAATTGAACTGATCTCACTTCAAACACATGACCACTTACTTCAGGTAGGCCATTAAGGCTGACTGGCTATCATATGACATTTCTCTAATCCATTCACTTCCCTACTTTCCTAAATAACTATTTCCTACTTTCTTTTCTCTTTTTGAATCATCAGTATTTCCTCCCCCATTCTTAATCTTAGCTAATGTACTTAGCATTTCACTGAAAATCAGCAACAATCAAAGATCTTCCACAAACTTCCACCACTTTTCAGTCAATATCCCCTCCTGTTGCAACAGATGATGAAATGTCCATGTTTCTAGTTAAAGCCAGCCTTCCACTTGTGCAGTAGAGCACACCCCATCTTGCTTGCCCAGTAATTTTCATCCCTCTTCTGTAACACCAATTTTCCCATTTTACTGGATCACACCCATCAACATATAAATATGCTTTTAACTTTTTTCAGCTAAAAACAAAACTCTTTAACTCCTTTTCTCCTACCATCAACTACCCCATTTCTTTTATAGCAAAACTCTTCCAAAGACTCATCTAGGAGCTCCTATTCTTTCCCATCCATTCTTTCCTGAAACCATTACGTTCACGCTTGTAGCAGCTTTTCACACAGGTGGTCAGTCTGCCGTCATGGAAATGCTTTTTTTCATTTGGTTTCCAGCACACTATAATCCCACTGTTTTTGAACTCCCCAGTAAGGGCAGGGATTCCTCTGCTTCTTGGCAGTGCACGATCTCAGTCTCCATTGTTGGTGATTTCTTCTCTCCCACACCGCCTATGTGCTGGAACGCTCAGGGCTGAGTTTTTTTACTTCTCTCTTCCTCTACATTCCTATGTAGTCACGCACCATATAGCAATGTTTCAGTCAACAATGAACCTCATGTACAACAGTAGTCCCATGAAATTATAATGAAGCTGAATAATTCCCATTGCCTAATGATGTTGGAGCTGTAGTAACATCACAGCACCAGGTATTACTCAAGTGCTTATGGTGATGCTGGTGTAAACAAACCTACAGTGCTGCCAGTTGTATAATGATAATAATAAACTACTATGTTATTGGTTTATGTATTTACTATATCACACTTTTTTCCATTATTTTAGAGTGTACTCCTACTACTTACTAAAAAAAGTGACAGCCTCAGTCAAGTCCTTCAAGAGATAGTCTCAGAAAAAGCATTATTATAATAGGAGATGAGAACTGAATGCATGTTTATACCCCTGAAGACTTTCCAGGGAGATAAAATGTGGAGGTGTAAGACAGTGATATTGATGATATGAACCTTGGGTAGGCCTAGGCTAACGTGTGTGTTTGCATCTTAGTTTTTAACAAAAAGTTTTAAAATGAACAAATAAGTTTATGAATTAAAGATATAAGGAAGAATTTGTACAATGTGTCTGTGTTTTAAGCTAACTGTTATTACAAAAGAGTCAAAACATTAAAAAAATTACAGTTTATAAAGTTAAAAAGTTACAGTAAGTTTTCCTTAAGCTAAAATTATTGAAAAAATATTTTCAAATAAATTTAATGTAGCCTAAAAGCATGGTGCTTATAAAGTCCCCAGTAGTGTACAGTAATGTCCTGCGCCTTCACAATCACTCACGTGCTCACCCAGAGCACTGTAAATTTCCAGTCCTGCAAGCTCCTTTCATGGTAAATGCCCTATACCTATACAGGTGCTTTTTTTTTTTTTTTTTTGACTCTCACTCCGTCACCCAGGCTGGAGTGCAGTGGTATGATCTCAGCTCAGCTCACTGCAACCTCCATGGTGTATCATTTTTTAATCCTTTGTATTGTATTTTGACTGTACTTTCTCTATGTTTAGATATACAAACATTTACTATTATGTACAACTGCCTACAGTATTCTGTATAGTGATATGCTGTACAGATAGCAGCAACAGGGTAAACCATCTAGGTTTGTGTAAGTACATCCTATGATGTCACACGATGCCGAAATCACCATTTCTCAGAATGCATCCCTGTCATCAAGCAACACGTGACTGTACTTTTTATCCTCAGGTGTACTCTTCCTATAACCCTCCCTCTCCATCTCGATTATTGGTAATACTGTTTTTCCCTACAACTTAAAGTCCTCGGCTCCTTTCTTTTTCTTACACTCTATATTCAACCTGTCAGCAAATCCCATTGGCTCTACTTTTAAAACATATGTCTAGACCAGGCACGGTGGCTCACACCTGTAATCCCGACACTTTGGGAGGCCGAGGCGGGCAGATCACGAGGTCAGGAGTTCGAGACCAGCCTGGCCAACATGGTGAAACCCCATCTCTACTAAAAACACACAAAAAATTAGCTAGGTGTGGTGGCATGCACCTGTAATCACAGCTACTTGGGAGGCTGAGGCAGGAGAATCACTGGAACCTGGGAGGCACTCCACCCTGGGTGACAGAGGGAGGCTCTGTCTCCAAAAACATAAATAAATAAATAACTTATTTTGGGACTATGTAGAATATGTAGCAAAGTGTTTACCAGGCAGCAGTCAATACAATATACCTTTCCCCCAAATTTCCCCCTTTAATTTTTTGCACCCTCTAATAATTCCCGCCATAAATCATGCTCATAATGCTAACCATAAGAAGTATTCTAAGAACTATGTTTTATCTGAAATTTAATAACTGCTTTATCTAAAATTTAATAATTTATTTTAAAAAAGTATTATTTTAATTGACCAATAAAAATTGAATATATTTCTGTGTACAGCATGTTTTGAAATAAATATACATTGTGGAATGGTTACATTGAGTTAATTAATCTATGTATTACCTCATATACTTATTTTTTTGTAATGAGAACACTTAAAATCTACTCTCTTAGCAATTTTCAAGAATATAAACGCAGTGGTATTAACTCTAGTTCTCATGTCATGTAATAGCTCTGGTGAACTTATTCCTCCCATCTACTTGAAATTTTGCAGCCTTTGACCAACATCCATTCCAATACCCTGAATCCCTTCCAGCCCTTTGTAACCACCATTCTACTCTCTCTGAGTTTAATTTTTTTCCACATATAAGTGAGATCATGAAATAAATATAATGTCCTCAAGGTTCATCTATGTTGTTGCAAATGACAGGATTTCCTTCTTTTATAAAGCTAAATAGTATTCCATTGGGTATATGTACCACATTTTCTTTATCCTTTTATCTGTTGAACACTTAGGCTGATTCAATTTTTTGGTTATTGTGAGTGTTGCAATGAACCCAGTTACATACATCTATTCAAGATCTTGATTTCATTCCCTTTGAATATATACATACTCAAAAGTGAGACTGCTGGATCATGATACTTCTATATGTAAATTTTCAAGGAACTTCCATACTGTTTTCTATGGTTGTACTAATTTACATTCTCATCAACAGGATGCAATCGTTCCCCTTTCTCCATTTCCTTTCCAACACCTGTTACCTTTATCTTTTTGACAATAGCTATTTAATCATTTATTTTTAAATAATTTTGAAATCACAGAAACACTGCCAGAAAAGTAAAAGAACCCTACATTTGTTTCACCCAAATTCCCTGAGTGTTAAGTTATAACATTTGCTCCAGTGCCCACCCAACTGCTCCTACACACGCTAATTTTTTCCAAAACTTTTGAGAGCAAGCTACAGGCGTGAGGTCCTGTCTTCCCTAAATACTGCAGTATGGATATCCTAAAACAAAGATCTTCTAACATAACCAAATCCCAGATTCCAAATTCATAAACCAACTGTTACAACACAGCCATCCAGTTTAAACACTTCATCCAAATGCCAAGTTTCAGCAGTCTTTTCCATGATGCTATCAAGGATACAAAATTGTTTAGCTGCCTCATTATTTAGTTGCTTAGTCTTTCCCTTTCGTTCATGTCCCTGATGTGTTTTGAAGATTTTATGCCTTACATTCTGTAGGATGACCTTGAACCTGGGTGGTATTTC